CGCAGACAACTGTGCTCCACAGCCTGAGGGTTTAATCTGCTCACGCAGGCATCCCATCAAAAGTGCTGAAATGCTGAGGACTCTGTCAAAAGAGGCTGTCTCAATCTGGGCAGCCAAAATTGTTGGGTACCTCAGGCATCTGTGACCTTCATTTCTCCATTATAAAGCAATGGTAATAATGGCTTCCTGCTGAATTGGAGACTGGGATACCCTGGAAGCGCTTGGGTAGGAGAGGGAGAGCTCCCTGAGGGAAATTCAGCACTTTGCRTGTAATGTAGGCCTTGCAGCAGGAAATGCTGAATAACATCAGAGGCCAAATACCGAGTGAGAAAGATGAAAAGAAATGGTAAATAATTACCTGCTCATGTAAAGCAGAAGGGATTGATGGGGGAGTCACACCCATTAAAAGCTGCATGCCTGTGGTGCGGGGGAGGGCACTTWACCTTCCTTCTGGCTTTCCCTAGCCTTTTGAGGTTTTTTTTGAGCTCTTTGAAGTTTTCACTTTTATTTAATACAAAGAATTGGCTTTGATTTGAAGAGTTTTATGCAATATTACAGGTATTTTGCTACAAAATAATTTTAGTATTGTGCAGGAAKAATATAGGGTTTATCTAGATTTAGTCTTATATATGGGGTTAAAGGATTTTTTGTTTTTTTCTACCAATTGCTAGGAGTGGTGCTGAGCATTAAGCTGGCTTTGCCTGCCTCCCAAGGGGTAGTTACATTTCCCATTAATGTGTCCACCAGCCCATGGTGGACAAGGTGTGTGGTGGAGTTGAATACAGCCTAAAGGTTAAGGCAATAAGCCAAGCTGACAAGTATTTTAAGCCTTCTCAGGAAAAGAAAATCTGAGTTAGTTGCAGTAACTAAAATCCAGAAAGGTAATGTAATGAATTGTAAAGGTAACCTGACTTTGAATAATWTTGTTATARTGAAAGGTCTGGTGATTTTGTATCRATAATGTGGATTTTCAAGTAAGAAATATAATACAGTAACATAAAGATGATTCCCTTTTGGGACAAGGTAACCCACAAGTTGATGAGGGGTAGCCAGTGGTCTCTTTGGATTTCAGTAAGGCTTTTAATACTGTCTCACACGGGCAAAAAGCCCCACAGCTGGATAAACACATCATGGGATGGGTGAGCARCTGTCTCGAGGGTCAGGCACAAAGAGTTACTGTGAGTGGGGTGACAGCAGACTGGTGGSCTGTCACTGGTGGGGTTCTGCAGGGCTCCATCCTCSGCCCTGTGCTCTTCACCATCTTCAGAAATKACATGGATGCAGGACTGGAAGGATACTGAGCAATGATGATATGAAACTGGGAGGAGCTGCTGACTCCTTGAAGGCAGGGAGGCCCTGCAGAGAGACCGCGACAAATTGGAGAGGTGAGCTATCCCCAACGCTGCAAAGCGTGACAAGGACCAGCGCCCAGATTCTCCACGGGGATGGGACAACCCTGCGTGTACAGGCAGACTGGGGAATGAGAGCCTGTAAGAACGCCAGGGAAAGGGAGCTGAGAGTSCTGCTTGATGGCAAACTGAACATGAGCCAGCAGTGCCCTGGCAGCCAGGAGGGACAAGGGTGTCTTGGGGTGCATCAGGCACAGCATCACAGCCGGGCAAGGGAGGGATTGTCCTGCTCTGCTCTGACCTGGGGCAGCCTCACCTCGAGTGCTGGGGACAGTTTTGGCCACCACAATATAATCATATAAAACTATGGGAGAGTGCCCTAGGCACGACTGTGAAGATGGTGAAGGGACTCTGTGATTCTGGAAGTAGAGGCTCTTGATTACGTTTCTGTTAAAGGCAGAGTTAAAACCAGGCTTTTTAGCCCAGGCTTGGGGAAAAGCTGCAGAGGAATATTTTTTTTTTTTTTAATTTATTGTCAGAGAACAAAAGAAGGTATGAAGAGCAAAAGAAGGTGGGAAGAAAAGCATTTAGGAAGCAAACTAGAAGAATTAATTTATTTATTTTTAAGTTATACATTCTCCTTTTTGTGTGTATTTCAATGACAAGAGCTCTGTAAAAAAAAAGGCAAAAATCACCTTCATGGTTCAAGATTCTTCATTTGGGAAAATGCTTTTTATYTGATCTTTTCAGAGTGCTGCATGTTGTGAGTGGTAGTTCATCCATTGGTACATCCATGCATACAGAGCACCTTCTCAACACTAAACTTATTAGTGTTTCACTTCTGACCTGAGTGTTTCCACCAGGATTTTTTTACGCTTTTTAAAAAAGCCATATTTCCTCAAGTAGGAAGATGCAACCAATAATTWTACTGACCAATCAGAAAATATTTTATCATCTCTACCCCAGTTGTGATGACAGTCAAATTTCTGCATTATTTAAYAAATATGTGAGGTAACTACACTGTGGAAGAGCAAAAACAATGTRTAGTCTTGCATATCTTTAGTTTATGCAGTCAGAAAAATAAATAAGGATATGGTCAATTAAAGATGAATCAGGTGAGATTCTTGATTTCTACTGTGTTTTACTCAATATTGCTAATATTAGGCTACACATTTTCATTTTTAAAATAGAAAACAAATCCATGAGATACAGTAGTGAATAAACTAGTAAACCTCTCTAGAAAWTGCCTGAAGACTTGACTGATTTCATGAAGGATGACATAACCTCTTTATGAATTTCTTAAATTCTTGTGTTTTCTTATGTAAGACAACCTTTAAAGGAGAAACATCATTGMGCATAAAAGTCCAAAAGCATTTCTTTTAAAAAAAGTTAGCAAATATTTCCTCTGTAGAGAAATATCCTCTCATAACTGGTTACTCTTTTTGTGGTTGCCTGTATGTCAGAGTGAAAAATGCTTCACGGATCACTAGGAGACGCTTAAGTGAGATCTTGCAAAGTTTTGAGTCCCCCACTTCTCTGAAGTTTCACCATCATCCTCTTGCATGTAAGGCAATGAGGAGGAGRGTAAAACCAGAGGGAAAAAAAATCAGCCTAAGGTCAAGAGGAAAAAACCCACGAAACAAACACAAGGGAAGCAAAACATGAAACAAACACAAAAGAAAGTGACATATATTATGTAAGTTTACTGATGCCATGGCTTTAATTTTGACTGGACATTTATCTTTTCAAGTTAAGTTATCAGATTATCTTTTTCATGAATGAAGGTAAATGTTACAGGCTTAAAACCTTATGCAATTAGGCACAGAAGTGCTCTGGGTTGCACTGGGAAATGAGGAGGGATCTGCACCATGAAGTGCTGGAGGCAGGATGGGAAGATGGAGAGTATTTTGGCCCTTGTGGTTTTGAAATTGGTTCAGTTTGACAGTGAAATTGGTAACTAAAATGGTGGTGTTCTGGGCTGTTGCCATCATTTACCTTATGCACCAAACAAACAAACAAACAACAAAAAACCAAAAAAAAAAAACCCTTTAGATGCAAATGTTACTCTGATAAGTAATTTTCCTCTTTTCTGATGTYTTTGGACATGATAGTCTCTTATACCTGAATTGTAGTTGGCTGATTCTTACTCTTATTTCATGTGTTAGCAGAGGAACTTTTAAAATTCAGATATAATGAAGTTTAGCAATTTTGATTTTATASCAGCAACATAGTCAGTACTGTCATGGRCATGTCAGATGAMACACTGGAATAATTCTTTGTTTTTYCTGATATTTCTAGTAAAGGATTATTCTAGATCCTCACTGCTCTGGTGAGGATCTGATCTTTGCAACCTTCTAATTCTCTTTCAAATTTCTGTTCTTTTTCTTGGTGAGTTTGTACCTGTTTGTTCTTGTGCCATCATGGTACTTTAGTACAAATAGTTCAACCCCCTCCCAGGTTTTTACTTCTGATGTATTTATAGGTAACAATCCCTCCCAGCACAACTTTTATGCTTACTCTGCAAAGAATACCAAATTCTTGTACACATCAAATTCTTGTAYATGCTGGACTTATTTCACTGCAAGCGAAACAAACCAAGCAAACAAAAAAATCTCCTGTTGAATTGACTGTTGAATTGTTGATTTGCAGAGAAGAGGAGGAGGAGATTCAGCTCTGGGGAAAAAATAAGGAGGACTTTCCAAGTTTGGAACAGTAGCCTTGTCTAAGCATTCTCAGTATTCTTCCTGTGAGCCATGATGCTATTGCTAGGTTAATATTTAAACACTGTGTCTGACAACAGCAGCAGTAGAGCTGGTGGGTGGGTTTCCTTCCTGAGTGATACCGATATTCCAGATTTGGTGACAAACAGAGGCACTTCAGAGTTCACTAAAGCACTAGGCACAGTGAGTGAGGATGCACTKGTGGGTTGTTGGAGCTGAGGTTGCTGATTGCTGTCATGCAGTCATGTCTGCAGCAATTTAACMGGTGAGCAGGGGGGCAGAGAAAAGCCTTTCAGAGGATCCAGAGAACAATATGCACAGCCCTTGCCTGTATGACATGTATTACTGCTCAGCTGGCCACAAGAGTTAGGATTCTTTTGACCTGTTTGTAAAGAAGTAAGTGCTGTCTGGTGCTAAAAAATATGACTTATCAGGGTGGCAGTTGAATTGTCTGGTGAGTAGCATTTACTCATGAAATAACAGCAAATTAAGACTTGGGTTGGGAGAAGGAGGGAAGCAGTTTGGTTTGGAGATTTTGATATGCTGCATTTGTTTTACTCAGTTTCAGAATCTCCCAAATTTGAACTTTTCAATAAAAGGGAGACGAGCCTTTGTCTTACTTTTTAATTAGGGACATCCCTACAATCTTTCCATTTGCACACCTCACACATTAAATGGTAAGCAATCAGGTTAAGCTAACACAGCTGCAAATGCAGAGATTCCAGTGAGTTTTTCCTTTGCTTAAACATAGTGCTCTTGGCTGTTCCGGTTGTTCCAGAGGTTCTGTATGTTAGCACAAAGAGTATCACTATAAAGAGAGCAAACAAACAGCAATCATTAAATTTTCATCTGCATTTGAAAGTATGGAAAGAGAGAGAGAGATTGGGGGATGCATTGTACATGGCAATATTCTAATTTTTTTCTTTTTTAGCTTCAGGAATGGAGCTGTCTGTCTGAAGAGGACTCTGCCCAAACATTTGTAGTCTCCAAGCTCATTCTCCTACAGACTCTGGTATTACAACTTCATCTTTTGCAGAATGGCTGAGAAGGCTCCACCAGGGATCACCAAAAAGTCGTCAAGGTCCACCCTTTCTCTCCCTCCGGAACCAGTGGAGATCATCAGGAGCAAAGCCTGCTCACGRAGAGTTAAAATAAATGTCGGTGGACTCAACCATGAAGTGCTGTGGAGGACTTTGGACAGACTTCCAAGGACACGATTAGGGAAGCTCAGAGACTGCAATACCCATGAATCTCTGCTAGAAGTATGTGATGACTACAATCTAAATGAAAATGAGTATTTTTTTGATCGACACCCAGGGGCTTTCACTTCCATTTTGAATTTCTACAGGACAGGGAAACTACATATGATGGAAGAAATGTGTGCTCTCTCTTTTGGTCAGGAGCTCGATTACTGGGGGATTGATGAAATATATCTAGAATCTTGCTGCCAGGCAAGATACCATCAAAAGAAGGAGCAGATGAACGAGGAACTGAGGAGAGAGGCAGAGACATTGCGAGAGAGAGAAGGGGAAGAGTTTGATAATACCTGCTGCCCAGARAAAAGGAAGAAGCTTTGGGACTTGCTGGAGAAACCCAACTCATCTGTTGCAGCAAAGGTAGGATAAACAGTAGGCTTAAGACCAAGACAGTAGAAAATGGTTTCCTGACCATTTGAATTGCAGGAATCAACAGCTTTCACCGAAATATTCAGAGAAAAGAAGATCTAAAAATCTACGTATCATTAAGTGAAAACACACAAATTCATCGTAAACCCCACTGAAATCAACAGATGAAATCCTGTTGAGTTCAGTTGTTTTTAGGCAACTACTGTACTTTCCTTTTGCTATAAGTGATCAGAAATATCTGTGTGATTAATGGACTCCATATTAAACACTTAAGTGAAAATACAGCTAGAGTACACTATGAACTTGTTTGTTAGAAAAGCACTTGGTTATGAGAAACATCCATTTCAGTATTGCTTGTCCTGTTTCAGGCCCTGCCTGTGTGGTGTGTCAGTGTTTGGTAGGTTGTGCTGGATAGGCACCAGAGAATCTACAGTTGGCATGGTTTTACTATGGCATGTTTTGTCTTATACTGCATTTTTGCAGTCAAGAATGAAAGTATTTTGTATAAAAATACTAAAATATTTATGCATATCTCTGCATGTATATATTTACATATATGCATATTTATTTGTATACAGGTGTAGGTAAATATAAACAAGTGCCTATTCTATACATTTATGCACACACAAAAAAAATATATGTGTAAAATTTATTCCTATTCAGTCAGAAGTGAGAACAAACTCAGATGAACCCTGGTTCCAGTGCTGCTGTCTTCAAACAGGCAAGTTGGTTGAAGTCTTACTGATACAGGGGAAAAGTTTACCCTTGTTGTGGAACTGGGATTGCACACACTGATGTTGGTACTGCTATTTAAAAGAAAAAATTTTCTTTCCTCTTGAGGAACTTATTTATYCTATTTGTGGTGTGAGGCACTAATTAATGTGAGGTAAATTTTGGAAGCTTGTCTCCAACTTGAATGACTCAAAATGAAAATGTTCCAGGTTTAGATGTTCAAGTTAAGCTTAACTGTGACTTTATTTTCTTCTGTTGTTGATTTGTTATTGGATGCAATGCTCTTGGAATAAGGTAAGTATTAAAATATGATGGTACCATGGACAAAAAACCAGAATTTTGACAAAGATTTTTCTTGCAATAACAACCCCTACTATTGAAGTA